TTGATTGTGGTATAGGTTTCACAACTCTGAATATATTAAAAACCACTGAATTGTATACTTTAAATGGGTGAATTGTATGGTATGTGAATTATATCTCACTAAAACTGCTTTTAAAAAGTTTATTAAAAAATTTAGAAGGAAAAACTTCATTTCAATTGATCACTATTAAATAACTCAATAACACACCTATCACAAATCGGTGCCCTAAAAATATGTTATGAATAATGAATGTTATAAAACCAGGAACAAAAAAACGAAGCAATAACAAATGTTTAGAAAAAAATTAAGTGCAATTTCCATAAGAAAGAATAAATTACCTTCCAAGAGTTTTTGACATGATGTATTTGTCTCTTAATTCCTTGGGATAAACTGATTGATCATCTACAGTCAGATCAAAAAATACAAAAACTAAGGGAAAAAGGGGCAGAAATAGGTCTCATTAATTCATTCAATAAAGATAAGATAAATGATCCTAAAATTTAGCAAACATATGGAATATAAGACAATTGTTTTTATTACATTTAACATCTAACCCTAAATAAATTTAGCTAGGCTACCATATATCATGAAACCCAGGGAAAATAATAAATCAAATTTCATTCTTCAATAAAAATACATAGCATCAGTCTCACTGTAATGCAGTGATATCCATACATAAATGCTAGTGATATTCCTTGACCTCAGAATATTAATCTGTCACACTAATATAAATACCTGTGCAGGTTGGCAAAAGAACAGTACCCAAAAGCAATTCATCTGAGTCTAGGAAAAAATGTTCCACATAAGCAAATAAATATCCCAATAAAAACTATACCATTGGTCACCATACTAGCATTATCTTCTCAGCCATTTATACCTTTACATATATGGTATTTTACAAAGTTAAATAAATAGCATTTCCCCCCAAACTCCCCTTTATTTCTCCATTATTTGGGCTCTACCTCTGAAAAAGAAAACAACAAAACACTACTCATTTAATAATTTAACCATCCAGGTGGGCCAAGCCTGCAATCTGTTATCAAATATTTCAATTCTACAAAGTCATCAATAGTAAATTTGCAACTGCCAATAAGAACTTGAAAGAGTAAATCTTAAGTTTAACAGAGTTTAGGTGATAGGTTTCGACATCCCTGGAGTCACCTAGAGATCCAGTCTCTGGCACAAATATAAGCCACCTCAGTATGCACCATTCCAGGCTGGTCCTTATGAGATAGACACTTGACTAATGAATGAGACCTGCTGGCCACCCAGGATACAATCGTTCCTCAGTGCTTATGGATATTTACAAACCTAGATGTTCCAGTGGCCTCTGAGAATCTAGGAATTTGAAGGGCTCTGGACATGTATTTCTCATAAATGTCAAGGTCTACTTCAAGGGCTGTAAACTCAGTTGCCCACAGAAGCCAGGTAATGCTGGGTTTAGAGTAAGACAACATGGAGCAGTGGGGACTTGAATGGGAAAACACATCAACAATCTAAAGGAGGCAGCTTCTACTCAACACCTGCGAATCTTTGATTAACGGGATTATAGGCTCAGTGTGTCCAGATAGTCCACCTTTCCAAAGAAATCTAGAGTTTCCTGTTCAAGTTCAAATATCAGCAAATGCCTAATAAAATGACAATCGGCTGAATGCAGTCAAACTGAGTACCAGTTTGATCGATTTCAATCAGGGCCACCTTTAGCCTATAGAACACCTTTGTTCAAATTCGAAGAGGTGCCCTTTGGGCAGACCAATGAGAAAAAGGTAGCACACAGCTTGTCACATGGAAGGCAGACCAAATTTCAGTGCCCAATTTCACCCTTGACCAGCAAAACCCTATGCAGCTGCCCTAACTATAATTACCAGATAGAAAACAAAATAGTAACAAACAGGAAAAACTAAAGCAATCATAAAATGCATGTTAGGATGCCCAGTATAGCCATGGTTCTCAGGTGCCAATCTGAAGACTGGCTGCATGAGAATCACATGGGCAGGATATTTTAAATCCCTAGAACTACCAAATCAGAATTTGTGGGACAGTGCCTATGGGATTTCTATATTTTCAAGGTGTTAAACCCTCATACACACATACCCTTCCCAGTCATTCAATTCAGATAGTTTTGGGAAGTTTTGTGGGTATCGTTTTTTTAATTAAAGAAACTACATTATTTCTCTTGTCCAAGGATTTAAAATCACTGTGAGTTACATTTAACTCTATAGGTTGTTCTTGTCAATTATACTTTCTGTGCTGCATTTTTTGCACTGAATAACAACTGTTCCTTTTAGATGTGATATTAGTAAAGTTTTAGGAGTGGATATTTATAAAATACCTGATAATGATAAAACATCTCCACTTTCAGAGGATAGCCAAGTGGGATTTAAGAAGGCGTAAGGTCTAAACTGAGATTCTCACAGAAAAATCCATAGTGTAATGTCTGGCATGTAATAAGAGTTCAATAAATATATGTAAAACTGAATGAGTGGAAAAAATGAAGAAAGGGAAGAATGAAGAAGGGAGATGAATTAAATAGCCTAAAACAACACAGATAGCTAAGACTGACATGGGATAAATTGCAACAATCGATGAACTATGAACTATTTTAAGCAACATGATAATTCAATTGACAGCATATGGCTTTAAATAAAATTGAACCAATTAAACCTTAGAAAATCACCCTTGATAGAATTTTTTCATAATTTAAAAATGCTACTAAGATTGAGCTGAATCTTGCATGCTAACCTTACTTGCTTTACCTAAGCCATATTCTGCAAAGAATACAATGTCAATTTTTCTTTTATATGGGAGGAAAAAAAATCTGATAAACCATAAAATATTACCTTTATTATTCCATACTGAAAGTGCAATTTCAGAATTGTTATTCAAAGGAAGGCGTCTTCCTTTCCCTACAAGCTCTCTATTTACAAAGGTTCCATTCCCACTGTGATCTTCTATGTATGCGATGTAAGAGTTTTTAGGACCCATTTCCTAAAATAGAGAACATTTTATTTCAAAGTTTTAACAATGGAGAGTTATAGTGGGAAGATATCTAAGAGTGATGACTAGATTACCAGCTCTCCCAAATAAATGGATATTTGTCACCTACCCTGAAAATCCGAAAGTGCTTCTTGCTGTAAGTCCGGTATTTATCTGTGCTTTTCAGCAGCGGCTCATCAAAGCAATAGTCACAGCTTCTATCCCTCCCAAACCAGTAGTTGTCATTAACACACTCTGTAACACAAAAGCACACACCAGAGGGCTGTTAAATTTCATATATCAAACACCTTTAAAAATTGCTCATAAAATCTATTAATAGAAAAATAGCCTAAGAAGGTAATCAAAATTATAGATTTTGATAAGTATTTGGAAAAATACTTATGATATGATAACTTCCTACTTATTACCCTCCTGAGGCATCCGATCATACTTACTATAAAATCCACACTCCTTCTCATGGCAGGCGAGATGCTCAGGATCTGGCCCAATCCCTTCCAGCCTTGCCTTGTACCCCACCTCTCCCCTTGCTCACTACAGCCAGCCCCATCAGCCTCCTTTCACTGCCCCAGATATGCCAGGCCCAACGTGCCTTGTGGTCTTTGCACACTTTGTTCCAGTGATTTGAATGGCCATCTGGTCTTTGCATCTGGACTCAAATTATATCTCACTTAGCTTTCTGTATAAGCCGACTCCCACGTTATCATACCGATAGCTTGTTTTGTTTCCCTGTAAGTATGGACCACAACTGAAAATTATCTTGATTATTTGTGTATTGTATCTCCACATTCCCTTGTTAGAACATACTCCAGGAGGGCAGCCTTGGGTCTCTTATTTAAGAGTACAGCTCCAAAGGCGGTACAAGATGGCAGATTAGGTAAACATTATGCCTGCTGCATCCCAGGATCACACCAAAGTTACAAATAAATTATAGAACAATCAACCTCAAGAATCATCGGAAGGGCAGCCAGATAGCTCAGTTGGTTGGAGTGCAAGCTCTGAACAACAGGGTTGCCGGTTAAATTCCCACACGAGCCACTAAGCTGCGCCAGTAAGCTGCGCCCTCTATAGCTAAGATTGTGAACAACAGCTCAACCTGGAGCTGGGCTGCCATGGGCTGCCATGACTGGCCGGCGGTCAACGTGAGTGGCCAGCAGCCAGCGTGAGCAGCCAGCAGATGGACGGCGACTGACTGCCTCAGCCGGATAGAG